CGGGCCGGGGGCAGGGGGTAGGAAGCGACCCAGGGCAGGGAGCTGGAAAAGCCCCTGAGGGCTCAGCGCGTTGTGGGAAGGAACCTCCACCGAGCCAGTGGTGGGAGCCACCCGCCGCTAATAGGGTCCCGGGTCAGGGCCCGGTGGAGAGGGAGGGCCCAGGCCCCCTACCCCTGCTGCCCTGAACCCCGGTGAGTGGGAAGCCCAGCCAGAGGACTAGGCTGCAGAGCTGGCATCCGGAGGACTAGGCCAGGAGGCCGTATTTCCCCTAAGAGAGGGGCATTGTACTTTGGGGGCTAGGCCCAGGTGAGCTGAACTATGCCCCGGATGGGGGTGGCAACCCCAAACCAGGGGGGAGCCCCCTGACACATACAATGAAAGAAGGTAAAAAAAAAAAATTACAAACTAACAAATCAGCTACATAGAACAAAAGGTGAGGCAGAAGGGGGGAAGCTAACAAATCAGCTACATAGAACAAAAGGTGAGGCCAAAGGGGGGAAGCAACAAGGAAGGAGGAAATTGCTTACTGTAAGAGCCAATTAAGTGGCTAATCTGGGGTAACTACAAATATTAAAAGGTGGGGAGGCTGTCTTTGTAATGTGTAAGATAATTATCATCTCTATTAAGGCCCATTCACAATGTGTCAAATATTAGCATAAATAAAAGTTCTGAGGTCTCCCTCTGTAATCTAGTGTTAAAGTCTCTTTGATGTAAAACACATGTTTTCAGGTCTTTAAGAGAGTGACCAATTTGATTGAAATGCTGGCTGACAGGTTTGTGTGTCTGTAGATTTCTGTTGTCTGATCTGTGAGCATGAATTCTTTGGTGAAGTGACTGTCCAATTTGTCCAACATACATCGCAGAGGCACATTGTTGGCACATGATGTCATATATTACATTGCTGGATGTATAGGAATATGAGCCCTTAATTGTATAATTGACATGGTTGGGTCCAGAGTAAATATGTGGACTAAGCTGGCAACGGGGTTTGATGCAAGGGAAAGTTCCAGGGTTAGTTGTGGTATGCCCTGTGGTTGTTGGTGAGAATCTTCCTGAGGTTAGGTGGTTGTCTATAGGGGTATGTCTACACTACAGCACTAACTCAAACTAACTTAATTCGAATTAGTTAATTCAAAATAAGCTAATTCAAATTAGTGCATCTAGACCTAAAAACTAATTCGAATTAGCATTTTGCTAATTCGAAATAGCATGTACACATTGAATGGATCCTGAACCAAAGTTAACGCTGGCCGGAACCAGTGCCGGCAGGGCATCAGGTTAGGACTTAGAGTGTGGAGCTGCTGCCTCAGGCTACCTGAGGGCTGTGCTTAAAGGGACCCAACCCTCACCCTGAACAGACAGTTCTCAGGGTTCCCTGCTTGCTTGTCTAACTCGATGAGGGACAGCAAAGCAGACCTGTCTTGGAGTGCCCTGAATGCCCACACTCGGCACATCACAGCACTCGGCCATCAGCCCTGCTGCACTTGCCACAGGCTGCCATCCGGGGGGGTCAATAGAGGGGCTGTCAGGATCCAGGGGGCCCTGCAGGAGAGCTTTCACCCTGAGGAGCCTGCAGAGCCACCCCAGTCCTCCCCATCGGGGGCTCGTGTCCCATTCCACCCTCACCTCCTTCCACTTACCCCTCCCTAGCCCCCCTTCCTGATGTAAAAAATAAAGGACACGTGTGTTCAAAAATAGAAACTATCTTTATTTAAAAAAAT